GACCTTGAACTTCTGATCTTTCCTCTACCTCCTGAGGGTTGGGATTATAAACTTGATCCATAGTCACACCAGGTTTATATAGTGCTGGGGATCAAACCCAGGGTTTTTTGTATGCTAGGCAAGCACCCTACCAGCTGAGCCACATTCCAATCTTACTTGATTTTATGTTTTGTAGAGCTGGAGATTGAACCTAGAGCCTTGCACATGCTAGGGGAGTACTGAGCTATACTTGGGCCATCTTGAGATTAAGAAAATTGTTTATTGGGTCTGGAGAGATGGCTCAGTGGTTAAGAACACTGGCTGTTCCCTGGGTTTGAATCCCAGCACCCACATGGCAGCTAACAACTGTCCAAAACTCCAGTTCCAGGGGATCCAAAGGTCTCTTCTGTCCTCCGCAGGCATTGCACAACATGGGTGCACTTACCTGCATGCAGGCATTACACTACATTACAATACATGCAGGCAATACACTCATACATAAAAAATAAAAATAAAAGAATTGTTTAAAAAAAGATTTATTTATCTATTTATTTATTCATTTATTTATTTATATTCTTTAAAGATTTATTTATTTATCTGTGTGTTTTGCCTACATGTATGTATGTGCATCACATGCATACTTGGTACCCATAGAGGCCAGGAGACGGTGTTAAATTCTTTGGAACTGGAGTTACAGACATTTGTGAATTGTTATGTGGGTTCCAGGAACTGAACCCAAGTTCTCTGCAAGAGCATCCAGCACTCTTAACTACAGAGTCATCTCTCCAGTCCCACATCTGGCTTTTTATGTGGGTTTTAGGGATCCAACTCAGGTCGTCAGGCTTTCCAGGGATAAAACTCAGGTAAGTGCTCTGGGCGTGGTGGCGCACACCTTTAATCCCAGCACTCGGGAGGCAGAGGCAGGCAGATCTCTGTGAGTTCAAAGCTGGCCTACATAGTGGGTTCCAGGACAGCTGGGCTACAAGGAGACCCTGTCTCAAAAAGACCAAAAAAACCCAAAAAAACAAAAACTCAGGTAATTAAGCTTGTTCTTTTAGTGCTCTTATTCACTGAACTGTCTAGCTTGTTATAATTCCACCTTATTTTTAAAATATTTATTTATTTATTTATTTATTTATTTATTTATTTATATTTTTATTTTTTTGGTCTTTTTGAGACAGGGTCTCCCTGTAGCCCAGATGACCTGGAACTCCCTATATAGACCAGGATGGCCTCAAACTCACAGAGATCTGGCTGCCTCTACCTCCCGAGTGCTGGGATTAAAGGTGTGTGACACTCTGCCCCACCACCTTATTTTATTTGTATTTTGCTTGGACCATGTGCATGCAATGCTTGTGGGGACCAGAAGAGGGCATCGGATCCCTGGAATTGGAGTAAAGGATAGTTGTTAGCTACCATGTGGGTGCTGGGAACTGAACCTGGGTCTTTTGGAAGAGCTCTTAACTGCTGAGTCATCCCTCCAGCCCCTCTCCACCTTATTTATTTATTTAAAAATATTTATTATTTTTATTTTATGTTTAGGAGTGTATTGCCTGCATGTATTGAGTGCACCCGTGTCATGCATCCATCTTAATTTTTTTGAGACAAGGTCTCTCTCACTGGCCTGGAGCTTGCTTTTTTGGCTAGACTGACTGGCCATCAAGCCCTGAGGATCTGCCTGATTCCATCCCCTTCCCCCAGCATTGTGGTTACAGGACGTGGATCACACCCAGCTTTTATGCGGGTGTTGGGGATCCAAACTCGTCTCTATGCTCTTACAAGCAAACACTTTACTCACTGAACATCTTCCTAGTCTCTATCTTGAATTTTTGTTATATTTTGTGTGTGTGTGTGTGTGTGTGTGTGTGTGTGTGCGTGTGCCACATTACATGTGTCGAGGTTAGAAGACGACTTTCAGGAGTCAGTTCTCATCTTTATTTTTATTTTATGTGTGTGAGTGTTTTGCCTGCATGTATGTAAATGCACCATGTGTGTGCAATGCCTTAGGGGCCAGAAGAGGGTACTGGAGCCCCTCCAACTGGAGTTATAGACAGTTGTTAGCTGCCATGTGGGTGCTGGGAACTGAGCACAGGTATACAGGAAGAGCAGCAAGTACTGTTAACCACTGAGCCATCTCTCCAGCCTCCTTTGTTTTGTTTTATTTTGTTTTGTTTTGAGACAGGGTCTCCCTGTAGCCCCAGCTGGCCTGGAATTCAGTATGTAGAACAAGTTGGCCTTGAATTCACAGAGATCTGCCTGCCTCTGCCAAGTGTTGGGATCAAAGACATGTGCCACCATGCTCAGCTCTTTTTTTTTTTTTTTTTTTTTTTTTTGGTCTTTTTGAGACAGGGTCTTCCTGTAGCCCCAGCTGGCCTGGAACTCACTAAGTAGACCAAGTTGGCTTGCCTCATTTGTTTTTTGAGACAAGGTCTTACTATGTGCCACTGGTTGCCCTGGCACTTGATATGTAAACAAGGCTGGCCTTGAATGTGAAGAGATCTGCCTGCATGTACAAACTACAAAGTACAAAGTAACTAATTTCTATAATTCTGCATGTGAGTTAAATGCGCTTACATTTGCATTGAAAAACAACATTGTTTATTTATAGACAGGGTCTCACTATTTGTCCTTAGCTGGCCTGGAACTTACTGTGTAGACCAGGCTGGCCTTGATTTTTTGTTTTTTGTTTTTTGAGACAGAGTCTCATTGTGTAGCTCTAGCTGACTTAGAGCTTGCTATGTAGACAAGGTTAGCCGTGAACTCACAGAGCTCTCCCTGCCTCTGCCTCCCAAGTATTGGTATTAGAAGTTTGCATTATCATACCCACCAGCCTATCTATCTATCTATATCATCTATCTATTTATCTATCTATCTATCTATCATCTATCTATTATCTATCTATCATTATCTATCTATCTATCTATCTATCTATCTATCAATCATCTATCTATCTATAATTGTCTTTTGAGACAGGGTCTCCCTGTGGCCCCAGTTGGTCTGGAACTTGCTATGTAGGCCAGGCTGGCCTCAAACTCACAGAGATCTGCCTGCCTCTGTCTCCCAAGTGCTGGGATTAAAGGAGTATGCCACCAAGCCTGGCAGAAGCAGGTGGATCTCTGTGAGTTCAAGGCCAGCCTGGTCTACTTACCTAGTTCCAGGCCAGCTGGGGCTACACGGAGACCCTGTCTCAAAAAGACCAAAAAAAAAAAAATTATTGTGTGTGTGTTTACATGATGTATGTATGTGGAGGGGGGCACCATGTGGTGATCAGAGAATAGCTCTGGAGTCAGTTCTCTCCTTCCACCTTTATGTGGGCTCTGGGAATCAAACTCAGGTTGTTAGGCTTACATAGTAGGTCAGCAAGAAGGTTTACCCACAAAGCCATCCCATCAGCCCCAGAAGATGACTTATAACTCTGCATTTCTCCACCTCCCCAGTGCTGGGATTACAGTAGTGTTTGCCATCATGTGTAGTTTATGAGGTGCCCTGGGGATGGAGCCCAGGGCTTTGAGCATACGAGGCAAGCACTGCACTGAGCTATCTCCAGATTACACCCAGTTGCTTTCGACCTAGGAACTCTGTATCTCCATCTAATACTTGGTCCTGTGATATGACAGGCCCTGGAAGGATCCCTCCCCATCCCTGTTTTAGAATGGGTAACTGTGATGTGGGTGAGTGACTTGGGGCTGCCCTTTATTCATTTGCCCTGCTTGTGGTTAGGCTGTCCTCAGTCCCCTGAGCCCAGAAGGGGAGCAGAATTGCCGCTACTGTGCACTTGTCCCACCGAGGCATCGAAGACCCTCATCAGCCTCCCCAGGGCCTGCTTCCTCCCAGCTGAGCTACAGCCAGGGCTGGGGATAGGCAGGGCAGGACAGGATAGCTGGGGAAAGCCAGCCTGATCTTTGAAGATGCTGCTGTCTCTGGCCTTGAGAGAATCTCCACAGAACACCAGGTTGCCACCCAGGGCAAGGTGGAGTTCCTGTCCCTTTCTCCTTGAGGCCAGTCACCCCAGGGCAGGAACAGCAGTGAGACCTCAGAAAGGGCTGGTGTAGACCTAAGGTGGGTGGCTCTCTTCCCACCATCACCCATCCCCATCCAGGTGGGGCAGAGAGGGTGTTTCTGTGTTGGCTTACTTCTGGGGACAGTGAGAGGAAGGAGCAAGAGCCCTTGGTAATGATGAGTCTACAGCAGTTAGGGCCTTGAATTTGAAGGAATGGGGAGGAGGGCAGTTAAGTGGGAGGAAAGAGTACTTCAGGGCCTGCTAAGGGCAGCATTAGTAGCTGGTGTAGAACTGGGCACTGTCTCTACTCATGGCTGCTCCTCTCTTTGTGGAAGAAGAGGTTGGTCCCTCGGTCCTCCCTCCCAACCCCTAGGAATGCCCTCGATCTATTTTCTCCTTCATCCTCCTCATTTCCTCTCTATCCCACTCGACCTCTCTCTCTCTGTGCAAATTCTCTAGCATACTAGGCTCATGCTTACCTCAGGGCCTTTGTACTTGCTGTTCCTTGTCTGCAGCTCTCCTCTATCACATTATTTGACGACTGAGAGTTAGGCTTCAGTATTAATATCATGTCCTTTGGGATGGTGTATTTAACTACTCTAGTAACATCATCACATAGTCACTTTGTTATGTTTCACTTTTTAAATTTCCACATAGCATAGTATAGGTGATAATTTTTTTTTTTTTTGGTCTTCTTGAGACAGGGTCTCCCTGCAGCCCCAGCTGGCCTGGAACTCACTATGTAGACCACAGAGGTCCGCCTGCCTCTGCCTCCCAAGTGCTGGGACTACAGGCATGCGCCACCACGCCTGGCTTGGTGATAATTTTTTTTAATGGGTGTGGGATTATTTACTGGGTCATGGGCAACTTACCAGAGGCTACACTACTGAAGAAAAATAAATCCCCCCTTAGTCATTAACTACCACTGGTTCCATAGCTAGGGGTGGGGCTTCATGAGCCCCTCTCCTCCCCATGCTGGACCATAGATGGGCTCCATCTTATAAAGAATATTTTCATTGTTATACTTACCTGGCAGGGGAGACAATATGATCAGGAAAGTAGTTTTCCCAGGGCGAGGCTCATTCTTTGCACTTGGGATGTGCTGACCTCTGCGATTTCCCCAAATGCGGGAAATTCGACTGCGTAATTTGTGGTAGTGGGGGACTGCATTTGTGCTCTCCCCTGTATCATTAAAGAAAAAAAAAGATTTTTCTTGTTTACATGTTTGTTCAATGTCTTTTCCCTTTGGCCCAGACTGTTAGCTTCAGGTGAGCGGGCCCTTGCCTGCCTTGTTCCCCAAGTCTTCACTCACTGGCAGCTTAGTGTAGGAGCCTGAGGCAGACCTGGGCCTGCTCTTAGGGAGCTCACACTGTAACTAGGGAGGCAGGATTGGACAAGCAAACCAACTTATTCTTGTTGCTGCTGTTGTCATGAGACAGGGTCTTACTATGAAGCCCAGGTGGACATCAAACTCATGATCTTCTTGACTCAGCCTCCCAAGTGCTGGGATTACAGGCTTGTACCACCTTGCTTAGCTCCCAAATTAACTTAAATTTTATTTATTTATTTATTTATTTATTTATTTATTTTTACTTATGAGTGCTTTGCCTGAATGTATATGTAAGTGCACCATATGCATGTAATGCCTGCGGAGGCCAGAAGAGGGTGTTGGATCCCCTTGAACTGGAATTAATGATGGTTGTTAGCCACCTTTGTGGGTGCTGGGAACTGAATGTGTATCCTCTGCAGGAGCAGCCAGTGCTCTTAACTGCTGAGTCTCCAAGCCCCAAACTAACATTTTTTTGTCTTTTTGAGACAGGATTTCCCTATAGCCCCAGCTGGCCTGGAACTTGTTATGTAGACCAGGCTGGTCTTATATGCACGAAGATCTGCCTGCCTCTGCCTCCCAGATGCTGAGATTCTAACTTTTTGATATACATTTAGAATTTATTTATTTTATTTATAGCAAAATATATAACTCCAAATTTACTTTATTTAAATTTTAGACAGGGTCTCATATAGCCAAGGTGTGCTGGATAACCTTAATGTTAACTTGACACACCTGAGTTGGAGACTCAACTGGGGAATTGTCTCCTTTGGACTGACCTGTGGCCATGTCTGTGGGGCATCTTCTTGATTACTGAGTGATGTAGGAGGCCCCAGCTCACTGTGGGTGGTGCCACCCCTGAGCAGGTGGGCCTGTGTTGTATAAGAAAGCAGGCTGAGCAGGGGCCAGGGGAGCAAGCCAGTAAGCAGCGTTCCTCCATGGCCTGTGCTTCAGCTCCTGCCTCCAGGTTCCTGCCCTGAGTTCCTACCTTATGCTCCCTGATGAACTGTGACCCAGGAGATATAAGACAAATAAACCCTTTCTTCCCCAAGTTGGTAGTAGACAGAGTGTTTTGTCATAGCAATGGAGAAACAAACTAGAACACAAGGCTAGTCTCCAACTTCCTGTGTAGCCAAAGATGACCTTGAACTTCTCATCATCTTGCCTCCATCTCTGGAGTGCTAGGCTTATAGGCATGAACTACTGCATTCCGTTTACTTCATGTTGGGGACTGAACCCAGCATCTCATGCCTGCCAGGCAGGTACTCTACCACCTGTCTACATCCCTAGCCCATCACACTATTTTTCACAGTGGCTGCACTGTTTTATATCCTCACCAATAGCACAGAATGGTTCCAGTTTCTCCATATTCCTACCAATACTTATATTCTGTTTTCTTTTAACATTGGGAAAAAAATTCTGGCACTCGGGAAGCAGAGGCAGATGACTCTGTAAGTTAGAGGTTAGCCTGGACTACATATAGAGTTCCAGGTCAGCCAAGGTTATATAATGAGACCCTGTCTCAAAAAAAAAATTATAAACTGGGCATCCTGGCATATGCCTTTAATCCCAGCATTCAGAAGGCAGAGGCGGGCAGATCCCTGCGCACTCTCCAACTGGGGCCACAGGAAGACAACCCTGCCTCAAAAAAACCCCACAAAACCCCCCAGAAACCAACGATGTTCTTTTCATTTCTTTGTCGTACACTCGTCTGTTCTTTATTGGATAATCTCTTTTCGTTTCTTTCCCCCTTTTTCTTTCTACTAATTTTAGTAGCATTTTGACTTTATCGTGTTGGTTTTTATTAGTTTTTTTTTTTTTCGTCTTTTTGAGACAGGGTCTCCTTGTAGCCCCAGCTGTCCTGGAGCTTACTATGTAGACCAGGCTGGCCTCAAACTCACAAAAATGCTCCTGCCTCTGCCTCCCAAGTGCTGGGATTAAAGGCGTGCGCCACCACGCCTTGCTGGTTTTTGTTTTTTGACATTTCTTTTTAGTTTATTCTTTGAGAATTTCACACATGTACCCAGTGAAATATGATCATTATCTTCACCCCCCCCCATTTCCCCTTCCAGCACCCTGGATCCTCTAACACATCCCTCTTTCAGCTCATGCTTCTTCTTTTCCTTTTGTATTAATAACTCATTAAGGTCAATTAGTGCTGCACATATGTGCATGGGTGTGGGAACACCCACTGGAGAAGGGGCAGCCCACCGGTGGCCACACTCCCAAAGAAGAGTGAGACTTTCTCCTCCAGCAGCTGTTAATTGTGGATAGCTCCTTAGTTAGGGGAGGGGCCTTGAGACTCCTCCCCCACTGGTGCTGGAAATTTGATTGGCTTGATCTTGTGCTGGTAACCCCATCTTCTCTGTTCATGAGTGTAACAGCCATGTTTGATTCAGAAGACAGGATTGCACAGCACTCCTCCCCATCCTCTGGTTCTTTTATCCTTTCTGTCTCTTGATGTTACTGAGTCTTGAGTGGTGGTAGTGATAAAGATGTCCCATTTTAGGCCTGAGCACTTACAGTCACTCATTTTCAGCAGTTTGACCAGTTGAGTCTTTGCATTAACTGCTGCCCACCACAAAAAGATACTTCTCAAGGCTGAGAGGAGCCCAAGCGTATGAGTATAAACAAAAATATTTAGAAGGCCGTTTGATTGCATGACCATTTACCAAAATAACAATAGCAGGTTCCACACTAGAGCCTATGACCTCCTTAGTCATGGGCTTTTCACCAGATTTACAGCACCAGGCATGAATTCCCTCCTGTAGATCAGGCCTTAAATCCAACCAGAAAGTGCTTGGTTATCCCATAATATTCATGCCACTTTTACACCACTGGGCAGGGCATATTTGCCTGGCAACTTGGTATTGTCTCATGTGTTGTCCTGCACTGGATAAGACCACTGATGTCTTTTCTCCTCCAGCAGCCTGCATAGCTAGCCATCAGGGAGGAAGTTTTCTAGTTCTATTTTTGTTTTAGTTTAGTTTAGATTAGAATTTTTTTTTTTTGGTGTTGGAGAGATTAAGCTCAGAGCCTTGCACAAATGCTGTATCAGAGATATACCCTAGTCATTTTATTGGACAGGATCTCAGATAGCCCAGGTTGGCTTTGAACTCCTTCTGTGAGGCTGGTCTTGAACACTGAACTCTGGATGGATCCTCCTGACTCCTGATTCCTGACTACCAAGAGCTGGGATTACAGGCCTGCACCACCATGCCCAGCCTCTCAGGCCTGTTTTTTAATAATTCATATATATATATAAACACTCTCAGGCATAAGGCTCCACAATAAATAAATGAACAAACAAACAAATGATGTCCATTATATTTGATTAGTTTATTTGTTTATTTGTTTATTTATTTATTTATTTATTTGTCTTTTTGAAGCAGGGTCTCCCTGTAGCCCCAGCTGTCCTGGAACTCACTATGTAGACCAGGCTGGCCTTGAACTCACAGAGATTCACCTGCCTCTGCCTCCCAAGTGCTGGGACTACAGGTGTGCGCCACCATGCCCAGCACATTTTATTTATTTTAATTTTATGTGTATGAGTGTTTTGCCTGCATGTAAGTGTACCACATGTGTGCAGTGCCCAGGGACGTCAGAAGAGGGTGTCAGATCCCCTGGAACTGGAGTTATGGATGGTTGTTAGCTGCTGTGTGGGGGCTGGGAATCAAACTTGGGTCCTCTGTAAGAATAGCCAGTGCTCTTAACTGCTGAACCATCTCTTCAGTCGAAATTCCTCTATTTATTTATGTATTTTAAATTTTATTTATTATTTTTATGTGTATGCGTGTATTGTGTGCATGTAGGTAAGGGCACCCATGTCATGCAATGCCTGAGGAGGTCAGAAGAGGCTGTCAGATCCCCTGGGACTGGAGTTATAGATAGTTGTTAGCTGGCATGTGGGTGCTGGGATTCGGACCCAGGTCTTCTGCAAGAACGACCAGTGTTCTTAACCGCTGAGCCATTTCGGTCATTATTTATTTATTTATTTATTTATTTATTTATTTATGATTTATTTATTTTTAACTGTATGTGATTTTATTAGCATGTGTGATTATTGCAGCTGTGTGTTTAGGTTACAGGACAACTGCAGTTGTTGGTCATTGCTTTCTGCCTTGTTTTCAGGCAGGGTCTCTTGCTGCTTGTCTCTGTGCATGCCAGGCTGACTGGTCTTCATGATTCCAGGGATTTTCTTGTCTTTCCTTTCCATCTTGCTGTTGAGGCTCTGAGATTACAAACATATGCTACCGAATCTAGCTTTAAGTGAGTTGTGGGAATTTGAATTCAGGACCTCACCCTCCCAAGGCAAACACTTTCAATGTACTGAGCCATCTCCCCAGCCCTTCCTCCTCCTCCTCCTCCTTCTTGAAATTTTAAATTATATTTAGTTTGTGTGCATGCCATAGCACTATGTGGAGGTCAGAGGTCAGCTTTCAAGAGTTGGTTCTTTCCTTCCACTATGTGGATCTGGGGGATTGAACTCAGGTTGTCATACTTGGTAGCAAGCGCCTTTACCCACTGAGTAAATGTTTTTAATGTTTATGATTACTTTACCTGCATGTATGTAAGTGTACCATGTTCGTGCAATGCTGGTGGAGGCTAGAAGAGGGCATTAGGTCCCTTGGAACTAGAGTTACAGATAGTTGTTAGCTACCATGTGGGTGCTGGGAACTGAACCAGGATCCTCTGCAAGAGCAGCCAGTGCTCTTAACCAATGAGTCATCTCTCTAGCCCCCCTTTCTCCACTGAGCTATTGTGCTGGCCCTGTTTATTATTTTTATTTTTTTGGAGACAGGGTCTCATATAACCCAGGCTGATTTTAAACTCAGTATTTAGTGGGGATGATGTTACA